ATCCTTGACCCCTCTAGCGAGGTTTAATCAATGAAGTTGTATTCTAAATTAACTGCAAAGTGAGACCAGCGTGTCATTCAGTGTCATTTCTGAATTGCCTGATTCCGTGTTCTTATTTCAGTGATTCAGGTTTTTTTTTTTTATTTTCATAGCTTTACACAAATTGAGAAAATGTCTGTTGTTAACTAAAGACTTTGCAAACTTTTACTGTGTTTCTGCTAACCTATATAAAATTCAAATTGTGTCCTTTCTGGGTGAAGTGTCATTAGAAAGCTGTAATGTTCATGTTAGGTCAGTTATTATTTTCTGCACCCAGTCTCTTAGCACCTAGTAATTTAAAAGAAAAGAAAAGGATGAAAGATTAAATAAGGTATTGGTTAGTAGTGAGTAAAATAGTGAAATAGGTTAAAGTCCTGGATACTTTTAGAAAATGTAACTCTTAACAGTTAGGAATTTTAACAATTTTTTCCATGCACCAAAAATGGCTCAAATTTAGCTAAAGAATTCTGGAGTCTAAACTGTCAAAGCTCTAGTTGTACATAAAAGACAGCAGATTTAAAATGGTTAACCAGTGTCTGCTTATGGTTCATCTGAAGCTCCTGAAAAATATTTGTTTTTTTTTTTTTTTCATTCTTTGGTTCATTTTGCAAGTGATTTCCTAATGCTGTTCAAACTGGTTAACTCCTGTGATGAGCTACCTGTCACAGTGCCAGAATTAAGAATTTTGCCCAGTATATTTTAGATAAAGTACAGTGGAGTAAGTAGGTGGATAATGCTGATTCCTGGCACCAAAGGATTAAGTGGACTTTTTTACTTTAATTAAAAGGTTTTTTTGCATAACTGAAAAACTCTTAGAGGAGTGTTATTTTTATGTATTCAAAACATTTTGAATCCTATTTCAGGAGCTGAACGGTCAGTAAAATAATACATTTTGCAGAAAGTAATAGTACTATCTTAAAGTATCGGTTTAGATTTACAAATGTTTCTAGTTGATCTTCTACCTGGTATTTGTAATTATAATGTATAATGAGGGAGAAGTTAAGAATTCTTCCGAGATGAACTGCCTGCATTGCAGGTATATTTATAAACAAGCTCATCCAGAAGAGTTCAGTGCTACCATGATACCAGAGGTTATATTTTATTCTTTATTGAAGTTGATTAGAGTTTCACTGTTGTTTTAAACAGGCATAGGATTTTACACGGGGCCATTACAAAAAGTGCAACTTGATATAAATGTCCTAGAGATAGGACAGGTATAAATGTCTTCTTTTTTTTCCCAAGCATCGAAATTCCTGAAGTTATGAAACTATTTGTTAATCATGCCAGGAGTCTTTCTGTTGAAAAATGTACTTTCTGTCTGTCTCTTGGTATTGTGTATTTAGATTCATGTCAGGATTTTTAGAATATTGAACAGATGTTTTTCATGGGAATTTCTTTTTAAAGTAAAATCTCATTAATTACATGTGACAATGCTGGTTTATGTTTCTTGGAAACAAAATGAAATGTTCCCAGCTGATTAAACCACTTCTCAAAGTAATGCATCAAGAGTGGAATTTCTTGTCACCTTTCTGAAGTTAGCGTGGAGTTTTGCAGTCTGCACAACAATTCCAAATTGAGTGATCTTTAAAACACTTTATTTAGCTTTGCAGTTTCTCTTATTTTTCTTTCCAGTGGCTACAATTCTTTTTCAAAAGTGCAAAGCATCCAAGATTATATCATTAAGACCTGGGACAGAGTAAATTCTCAGTTGTGTTGGAAGTGACAGTCACGATCTTCAGCCTGTCAGACTGATTGTCAAGACAACACTTGACCATCCAAACCAACATTCCCATTAGTATCATTGTCATTTTTGTCCTTTTATAAAAAAGATTCTGAGAATTGACTAGTGAAGAGTTTAGGTTTCCAGGTAGCTTTCTCAGGCCTCCTGTGCTTATGAGAGAAGTTTGTTGGATTTGAAAAGTCTTTCACTATCGTCAGACAGTATTGTTGTTTTTTCTTAAGGTGATGAAACATTATTTTTGAATTACATAATTATTGGGAAGTCAAGCTATTTGGAAAGGGAAAGATTTGATTCCTTTTGGTGTGAATTAACTGGTCTTACAGTATGCTGTTCCTAAGTTATATTCCACAAGAAATTGGTAGTGGTGCTGTAATATCACCTTCTTGAATTCTGTAATGCATTGTTAATGTCTTAGCTTTCCTTACTAATTATTTCTTCTGTTATTTAGAAAAATAAAATGTGTACTTTTTTTTAAATTTTCCTCAAAATTTTAGTTTGACATGGAGAAATCAGAGTGAACATAGATTGTATGATCTTATTTATGAAGAAGGGAACAGAAAGGATAATTTTGTACTTGATATTTTTGTAGGTATAAGCCTATGCAGAAAGTGGATGGCGTTGCAGATGGCTTCACAGGAAGTGGTCAGCAGACAGGCACATCTGTTGAACAAACTGTAATTGCCCAAAGTCAACATCATCAGCAGTTTTTAGGTATGAAAGCAGGTTTTATGCTGCTGTGTAAATAAATGAGATGAACTTCATTATCACAGTGAATTATCAAGTCACACAAGTACAGTAGTTGCTTCTGCAGTTATCGTGCCCTCTTTGAAATTCTTGCAACAGAACAAAAAGGCACTTAAATTACATGTTTTGTGTTGTGAGCTTTATGTAATATTTAATATGCATCATGTAAGTATGAAAGGAAAAAATATGCAAATTCTGTATTTGTGTGATATATTTACTGTTGTATAAATCACAATGCAATGCTGTGCAAAGTTGTATTAGACATGCATATAGGAGTTCCTGCAATGAAAGTTGTTCCCTGCATGTGCATTACAGTGCATTTTATTTAATAAAAGGAGGGGGCAGTGGTGTTGTATTATCATTGCAGGTTAGCCATCCAGTGGGCTGTTTTGAAAGTATTCTGTAGTATTATAAATGGAAAGAGCAAAATAGTTTCAACTGAAACCCTGAAGTTCATGTTTAAAAATGTCCAACCTGTGGATTTATTGAGCCAGCTGAGCATGTATTCTCAGTCATGGAAACAAATGGTAATATAGTTATTTGTTTATGTAGAAAGACTCTTTGGCTGTATTATTGCAGAAGGTGTAGGCTTATTTAGTTGAGATTTTCAAGCACCAGATCCTTTGGCCTAATTTCACTGTTATTGAAATAATGTGGAACATAAGGGTAGCATTAACAAGTTTTTAATCTTCCTTTACAGGTATCTTTCAGTCTAGCATTTTTCTCCTATATCAGCTTGTCCCTTGGAAACATTTGTAACAAACATTAAAAACACACATTGGCTCTACTTGAAAGTCTAGTAATTTTCAAATAAAAATTTATATTGAGGCTACTACGCCCCATCATACATGGCTACGTAGAAACCCTGCAGCTGAACAAGAAAACAACTGTTCAAGGACTAATCTTTCATATACTGACATAGATGTTTTCCTTTATCGTGTAATACTCTGAAAATGTGTTAGGTTTGTTAGTTTTTATTTATAAGTGTAGTATGTACATGACATCTTTTTAATGTCTTCAAGAATAATTTTGTATTTCTTTTGAATTAAAAAATGCTGGCTGAATTTGTTTCCAAATTTAACGTGCAACAGGTTCTCTTTGAACATTATGACCTTTTTGAATTTATTTATTTGTATCATCCTTAAATTTTTTCTTAATCATACTGTAACTGGCACCGTTCACATTAGCCCTCTTTCATTATGTTGCCATGGAAACAGATGCATCTCGAGTACTTCCAGAGTTTGGAGAAGTTGAAATACCTTCTCTGCCAGATGGTACTACCTTTGAGGACATCAAATCACTGCAGAGTCTTTATCGAGAGCACTGTGAGGTATTTCCTATAAACCATTTATTTTTTAAAGTTGGTGATTTCTAGTGAAGGTCAGTACAAGACAGTAATGCCAAATATATTGTAGCCACATTAGTGGTGACTTTTGCCCACGATATTTTGCTTACTTCATTGGAAAGAGCATTAGTAAAAAGGTGTTTCTGGAGGGTCCCCTTTATAGTATATAATAGACACTGAGAATTAAATGTAGTTTTATGTATGTTTTCAGAATGTTAGAGAAACTAGACTTCAGATTGTACATGCAGATCTTTGGTTTAATTAATTGGAAATGTAAATCAGGTTAAATTATGATTTTTTTTTTTTACATTAAAAGCAGTAACTTTTGTCTCATTTTGAAGAAACGTTGGGATGTTTAAGCCACATTTGATATTGAACAATATATCTTTTAAATTATTTTTCAAGGTGCTTTCAAACCTATACTGAATTATGAAAATGAATAAAATGTCAGGTTTCCTTTGTGTTTGCAGTAGCATTAAATATTTTCTTTGGGTGCATTCCTCTGATACATTTACATAGGCCACGTTCATTTCTGGAGGCTTCTGTGCACATGCACTTCGCCTGACTCACATCTCTGTGCACATCAGTTTATAGTGCTGGATAATTTATGGATATCAAAGGTATTAAAACAGGTATTATTTATAATTTGATAAAGGTACAGTTTGCTTTTCCTCCACTACTTGATAAAGGAAAAAAAAAATATAGATCTAGTTGGAGTTGGGAGTGGGGGGAAGCTGAGCAGAAGACAATCAGTAATTGTGTTTTATTGTCTCAGGCAATACTGGATGTGGTTGTGAATCTTCAATTCAGCCTGATAGAAAAATTGTGGCAAACTTTCTGGCGCTATTCTCCCTCTGCTCCACCTGATGGCAGTACTATTACTGAATCAAGGTCAGTAAAAGTTTATCTTCATTTACTACTTCTCCTAATAATATAATACAAGTGTCAAAAAATAAAAAATCTTACCAGTTTTGCCTGCAGAGTAATAATCTTTTTGTATGCTAATTTTTCAAATTAAATTTATGTTGTCTGGCATTTTTTATAAGCTGGGTGTATGCCAACGTGCAGTCTTGAAAAGATGGTGTCATCCATTTTATCTTTGCTCAGACCACTACAGTAAAGTTGTCTTTTCCCAGTATTCTATCCAATTCTTTTAAGCCAAAAAGAGCATACATACCTTTGAATAATTTATGAGCTGTAGCAGAGCTATGGGGGCATTTTAAAATGCGTTCCATGTGACATAATGTGTAAAGAAGTTCTATTGCTTGTAGTTGAGACATCTATGACACTTTTATAAAATAATACATTTTAACACCCACTGTAGGTTTTTATTTGCTATAAATGCATTATCATTTATTCGTTTGCCACATTTTTTTACACCAGCAATCTAAGTGAAATAGAAAGTCGACTTCCAAAAGCAAAGCTGATTACTCTGTGCAAGAATGAGTCTATTCTGAAATGGATGTGTAACTGTGACCATGTGATGTACCAGGCTTTAGTGGAGATTCTTATTCCTGATGTCCTTAGACCTATTCCTAGTAAGTTGAACCCTTGAAACATTTTTTGTATGGATTTTTGTGCATGTATGTGTATGATTGTGGTGGTCTTGTGCTTCACAGGGCAGCTTTAGGAATAAGTTTGAAAGTTGGGAAGGTATTGCATATCATTTATCCTTAATTGTACTATGTAGGAAGATGTGCTGAGAGTTGGTGTATGCTTTGTATTTTAAAAGTAACTGAGGATTTTAGTGCATTGGAAGATCTAGTTTTCAATATATAGTTTCATATTAAATTTAATTCTTTCTCTATGTGTGTCTTTTATTTTCAGATAAAAATGTTTTCATTTTACCCTGGCTGTAGACTACGACATAAGTCCCGTGGCCCTGAGCCAAAGAGCACTAATATCAGTTAGTCCTTCCACTAAATTCAGTAGGTTTTAGTTTAAACATTACGTATTAGTCTTTGATTAGTCTGAAAAAAAAATGTACATGATCTTTGTGATTCCATTTTTGGACAGTTAGTCTTTTGTTCCTTATCAATGGCTGCTGAAATCAATTTTAATGTGTGTTAAGGCAATGAAAAATTAACTCCGAAATTTTTAGTCCAATTTATGATTCCAACCTACTGTTCTTTCTGTCATACATCCTGCAGAAAAGAGTCTGTAACTGTCCAGCCTTTCAACTATTACCAGGAGTACAGCTTTCTTTTCTTATTTAATTCTACTAGAATCCGTCATTGCCTCAGCAGCATACATTTATGGCTATTTTTGGTAGAAAATTAATTTATGGGAAGAAAGTTGAACTCCTTTATAACATATTTATTGTCTTGCTTATGTTGTCCTAAATACTAGAGAGAAATCATGTTAGCAAACCACTATAAAACTCATAACTCATACATATCATATCCTTTCCATAAGAGAACAGTGGTCACTTTATAAAGTTGGATTAATATTTTTTAGAAAATTATGACCTTAAGTAGCTTTGCAGATAACAAAGCTATTTTTTCATGCTGTGAATACCTCTTCTGCTATAGTGTCTCCAGCAGTAATAAGGACTCCATAAGAATATTTGCAGGTACTTCCTTGCAGAAAAGTTTTATTGACTTTTTGCTTGTCAGTGAAATAAAATTAGGTTTTATTAAATTATGTATGATACAAAAAAAATTTTGGAACTGGAAATGTATAAAATCTGAAGTCCGGCCATTTACAAAGGCAGTTTTACGTTTGTTTTTAAGGAGAGTAAGTTCTTGGTAGAGATGTATATAATGTATCATTAAATCTATGTAACAGAATAGGAGAAAAATATTTTCTCAAATATGTGCAATTATTGACAACCACTGCTTGTATAAATTATTTTGCATTAGTTTATATTTAATGTTTTCCTTTTTTATCTAACAACAATGCAAGTAGGTAAGATATTATTTTTAGAGTAATATAGACTATCACAAGTGAATAGGCAACAATAAAAAAACCCTATCAATTTATTCACAACACTTAATAGGTTGAATTAAAACTCTCTCTTCCAAAAGCACATTATTTTCTGAATAAAAGGGTGGTGCAAACATGGGTTTTCATCAAACCTGCTTTTTGCCTTGCTTTTCACTTGCTTTCTCCTGCACAGTCTGGCAGTCTCTGATGAAGTTTTTACATGATAACTCCTTAGCTTGTGGTGTCTTCCTGCCTTGTTTCATAAGATGCATTGGGCATTGCCCGTACAGGGTTTCAAGAAAACGGGACACAATAATTTAATATCAATAACTACAGGCATCAGGTCCTTTTCATGCTATTCCTTTCTTTCTAGAATTACCAGTCATATCTGAGTAATTGATACCTACTGTGTTTGACATTCCTGTTTTTAGGATGATTATTAAACTTCTTAATATAAACACTCCATCTGATCCCAGGACAAATTCATCCCAAGAGAATTCTGCCTCTATTTTGTGAACAGTACAGTGGTTTTCTCCTCAGACGTCATCCACTGAGCTACCTTTGGAAGACAGCTAATGTATTTTCATAAAATTATAGAACAGTTTAGGTTGGAAGGGACCTTTAAAGGTCATCTAGTCTAACCTCCCTGCAATGAAGCAAGAACATCTTCAACTAGATCAGATTGCTGCAAGCCTCGTCCAACCTGATCTTGAATGTTTCCAGGGATGGGGCATCTACCACCTCTCTGGGAAACCTGTTCCACTGCTTCACCCCCCTCATAATAAAAAAATTCTTCCTCATATCTAGTCTAAATCTACCCTCTTTTGGTTTAAATCCATCACCCTTTGCTGTATTACAACAGACTCTTCTAAAAAGTCTGTCCCCATCTTTCTCATAAAGCCCCTTTAAATACTGAAAGGCCACAATAAAGTCTCCCCGGAGCCTTCTCTTCTCCAGGCTGAACAGCCCCAACTCTCAGCCGGTCTTCACAGGAGAGGTGTTCCAGCCCTCTGATAATTTTTGTGGCCCTGTTCTGGACTTGCTTCAACAGGTTCATCTCTTTCTTATTTTTATCTTTAGGTCCAGCTAACTAAATGGCTTTTTCTAGTCAGCATTCCTGTAATAATGGTCTGTATAAGCTCTCTCCTCACTGTTAAATATTTAAAATATTGTGTTTTAACTCCTGCTTTTGAATTAAAATATCTTCAGCCATTAGAAGAGACCAAGAGGAAGGCTTAAGGTTGTACTTAATGGTTGATTATGACAATAATGGAGCTGGGTGAAGTAGATAAATTCATCATCTTCTGTGGGAAAATAGCAGTTTATAGGAAAATTTGGACTCCGTAGAGGAAAGGGGACTGTAAATGCTTCATCAAAGTCATGTTTATGATGTTTTTCCTGAATACATGGAAAGATATTGACAGCAACTGCTCAAAATGTGAAAAAATATTAATTTGAAAGTGCTTGAAGTAAGCATATGATTTTTTAAGCTTGATCTTTTTTCATGTCTAGAGTCTCAGTGTTTTTCTTTTAGAAATGTCTTATTGTGCTACTCAGCTGTGTCATACATATTACTGGAGCAGAAAAAAAAATACCATTGAGGAAAAAATTATTTTATTTTTAACCTCTTTTAAATTTGTCAGCTGACATGTTTAGCACCTGTAGAATGAAGAACTGCTGTGTATAAACCAAAGAAAAGTGAAATGCTGTCCGTTTGAATCAGGACTAAAGACCATAATTATCTAATGTTTTTGACTATAGACCAGAGCTATTATGTTTTACAGTGGGCTTTTTGCACCTTCACAAGTGGCAGAATGGACAGGAACAAACAAACTTGCCTGTGATTTAGTTTCTTATCATAGGTGGAGAATTTGTACTAAAAATATTTCTATACCATATTACACAGCTTCAGGCAGACAAAAATTTAAAGTACTGGAAAGACTGTAAAGCCTTATTTTTATGAGATTTGCTTGTCAGCGGGTTTTCAGCTGAGAACTCGAGATTTTTATGTGCTTATCCAAATCAAACTTTCTATCAGTAACTGCCATTGCCACATCATTTAGTGTGTATTTAGCTAATTCAGGGCATTAACCATAGTCATCATGTGATTCTTTGAAGGGGTTTTCTTGGTTTTTTATGCTAGGCAGATGAACTTAAAAAAAGGCTTTGAGGATGTAGGTACTTATGGATGGAGTATTAGAATACATCTGTATTTAATAGGACATCTCCAAAGCTCGTTAGAAATTCATGGTCATTCCATGCAATACTGATGCCTGATAATCTACTTTAGCTATTTTATTTCTTCAGAACTTAGAACTCCTTTCATTTACTCCACTTTTGTCCTAGTTAAAGGTCTTTCTTAAGGCAAATATGCTTTTCCATATTTATTTTTAAAGGAAATCAACACTACAGTGATGCAAATAATTTTGTAATATATAGTTGGGTGAAAAAGAGTAATAAGCAAATTGGAAGTGAAAAAAGCAGTAATATTTTCCTTAAATGGCTAACTATCATGCACGCAATATTTACATTATTCCTTCCACTTTGCATTTTCTTGTTCTAAAGGTAAGAAAATGTGAGTGAATACATAGTTAATTAGCAGGTGCACAGAAATAATTTACAAAGCAGCACAAATGAGCTAGGTGATTGACAAGATTGAAGAAAACAGCTTGTTCTTCAGTGGAAACCTCAAGGGGGAAAAAACCATGTTACCACAGAATGTTCAGCTAATACAGATATTTTGTAAGATAAAATTGTGCTCAGATAAGCAGCCAAATCTGTTGTCAGTTATGTAAATTGCTGATACGGATTCTACTGGTTATCACTGCAAATTTGAAAACACATGAAGAAGCTGTTAGGAAGAATACATTTTTCCTTTTAGTAAATTTACTTTGCTAGTATAAAGCTTTATTTTAAAAAGGGATCATCAATAATTTAAACAGTAAAAGAGCATTTCTCAAAGACAAGTTCTATCAGCAGTAATTTCTTTCTTTACCAGACTATTCATCCTTACATACAGAATCCAGTCACTCTTTACTGGGACCGTTTCTTTTCACATCTGCTAAAATATTTCCTCTTTCTACTTTTTTCATCTTCACTTTTGTATTTGCATTTATTCTCAACTAGTCTTTAGAAACATGTAGTTTTTTCTTTTTGTTTACTTTTTGCAACCATTTGGGTGGATGCTATTATGTCAATGAGCAAGTGATAGGTATGGGAAAGTGAGGTTTCTAGTACTCAGGAGACGGGATTTCCTTTTTTCCACATGCAGGTCCTTGGAAAAATACTTCCTGTCCTTCTCCTTTGAAGAATTAAAACATATTTTGAGTAGTGCAGATTGCTGTAAGGCCTTCTTCAGTTTCCTTCTAAATCTGTATCAGCTACTCACCAGTTCTGTGGGTGCTGTAGTAAAGAAAAACATGTACACAGATTCCGCAGCCATTTGAATAACCTCATTTTTTGTCAGCGAAACACAGTCCTATATCTTGCTTATTGATGGTATCTTTAAGCACTGCATGTTGGATTTTGTTCTTTAAAACTGAAGTGAGGAGCACCATGACATGGCTTAAGGTTACTTTGGACTTATTTGAGGAAAATGCAGTATTCCAATAACTGGAATTTTTGTAGAGTTTCAGTCTTTAAAAGAGGTGCTTAGATGAAATGGAAAGCTGAAAGTTCGGGATGAAAATTTCTATCACAACAACGGCTGCAATTACTGATGTTCTTCTGTAGAATCACACAAAACAATACTACTAGTCACTAACTTCTTGAAAGATTGTCGGGTGAGAAAGTCAGAGCTGCATATTAAATAAAAAACTAAAATCATTATTGCTTATCTGAATAAGTCATTTTGAACCTGGACTGTATTTGTCTTTTGGTAAGTAAAAGAAGCAGATCTGAACGTTGAGTAAGTTCTGAGGATGCAAGACATTTCAAGACAGGTACTTTGCCTTCTTTTCATTCTGTTTTTATTCTTTAATGTACAGGTGCCTTGACCCAAGCCATTCGCAATTTTGCAAAAAGCCTTGAAGGTTGGCTTTCAAATGCCATGAACAATATTCCACAGAGGATGATACAAACCAAGGTAGACAAAACTGTTGCAGTATTATTCTTAAAATGGCAAACTAAGCAGGCAGTAGCATTTAAAAGCATTAGCATTTTAACTTCAATGCTAAATTTCATGTTTAGCATCAAGCATAAAATAATGGGAGAGGAAATAGCTTAGTTTTGTAAAAAAATTATAAGGAAAACATGATCTGATCTGCTGCATGGACATAATTCACATATGAGGACTCGTAGAATATTAAAATGAAGGTAATGACTCAGTCTGTGGAATTAATCTACAGATAAAGATTACAATATTTAAAAACAAATTAATTTCTTCATAGGTTGCCGCTGTAAGTGCCTTTGCCCAGACTCTGCGAAGATACACATCTCTTAATCATCTGGCTCAAGCAGCTCGTGCTGTGCTTCAAAATACTTCTCAAATTAACCAGATGCTCAATGATCTTAACCGTGTTGATTTTGCCAATGTTCAGGTAAAATGTAGCTTTAAAAAACAGGCTTTTTTTAAAAAAAAAAAAAAAGTGTTATTTCCACTGTGATTTTGAACTTTATTGTTAGCTGTCATTATTCTATCAAGAAAGTGAAGTGAGAACATATTGTTGGTTCATATATGCAGTGATTCAGTCCAAACATGACAGCTTACACTTAAGCAACGTAAGAGCTGAGAACTCTGTTCTGTCTCTATCTGTTTCCGTTTACTGTCTTGAAGTGCACATATTCTTCCAACATTTATGCAAATGTAAAGCAAATACACTATGAGAATGGGTACCATGAATGATGTCTTAGTGTAAATGATATAATTAGATCTCAGATAGTAGCGTAGCTTCTGAATTTCTCTAAAAGCTATTAAATGCGCAACATTGTTTTTAGTAGACTGTTTCATTATTTCAAAGACAATACCATTAATATATTTTATCCAAGTACCTATGCTTAAATTTACAAGATCTCCTGAGTAATTGATTACCTTAGTATAGATTAGAACTAGTTTCCAGTTAGCTATAGAATGTAAGTTTATATTTTCACTAAGCTTAATTTCTCCAAATGTTTCTGCTTCTCTGAGGAGGAGTATTTCTCTGAGAAAGTGAAATGCTCCAGATTACTGGTAGTTTTACATTTGTTTCTTTTCCTTGTGAACAAATGTTCTAACATACTTGTTAATAATCTTAACAAAAGTCAGTCAAGGGTACTTGACCAGAGATACAGTATATTAAGTATTGTAATATCTTAAGATGGATATGGAATCTGTGAATGTTGAGGTGTTAACTTGACACATGATAGATGGAGTTTAAGGACATGGTTTACAGTTAGTGAGTCTTCGTTTTTGTCTCTCAGTTTCTGAATTGACCAGCTAGCATTATTTAAACTTGATAACACTGACTAAATTGCTTGTTACTGTGTGCAGAGTGTGTTTCTCCATTTATGTGCAGTTTATATGGTACTCTAAGTAATGTGTAATCTATTACTGCCTATAGTCAGCAAACAAAACAATCCTTGTTTACATACAAAGCTGTCTTTTGTAGATCATACAACAGAAATAGTCTTTAAGCTTAACTTCTTCAGAAGGAAAGGAACCTTGCATTTGGTTTCTTGCTACTTCTTTTATTCGTTTAGCTCCCCTTTTAACTGCTCTTCCTGCTTTCATTGCCTGTAGCCCTAGAAAAAACTGGAAAGTCCTGAATGTTTCAGTACAAAAATTATGGATTAAGAAAGTGGAAAACTACAACATACTTGTGTCATTTCCATTGTTCTAATTTCTTTATCTGATGTCTGCTCTTACATGTTATGCTTTTCACACCCATTTGCTTTCAACAAAATTATGATTGACATAAAAATAAAAACTGCTTCATAGTATGTCTAGTAAGTGGGTTTTGTCCTTTTCATCCATTCAGTTGCTTAATCTTTGAGAAAGAATTGCATTCTGTGCTTTAGCTTATGTGTTGTTAATTCAAGAGTTGCCATGTGCTGTAACAGGAGCAGGCTTCCTGGGTGTGCCAGTGTGATGACAACATGGTTCAGAGACTAGAAACAGATTTCAAGATGACTCTTCAACAGCAGAGCACTCTGGAGCAGTGGGCTGCCTGGCTTGATAATGTAATGATGCAAGCACTGAAACCATATGAAGGAAGACCCAGCTTTCCTAAAGCAGCACGGCAATTTCTGTTAAAATGGTCTTTCTACAGGTATTGTGTATATACTTTCTACAGTGTAGACTTCTAAAACCTTCTAACTATTCTATTTGCTGAATTGTCTGCTGCAGTAGAGTTGACAGATGTAATGTCAAACAGTGGCTCACCAAGTCATGAAGAACATGTGGGGCTTTTCTCAGAAAATTATTGTTGTTAACCTTGAACTAGGGGCTACTTGCAAATCAGCAGAGACTTAAATGATCTTTGTTTATTGTTTTAAAGGCCATGTGCAAATGAATACAGGTGGAATTTTGTCCTGAGTTAGAAACATAATATGAATTTTTGGGGTTGAATAACTACACAATTAGTAAGCTACTATTTTTAATATTATTTATTAGAACACTGTGTTGTCTATGTTTATTAGATAAGGAAGACAAAAGCTGTTTTTAATGTGTAAAAAGAACATTAAGACAAGCATTCCATGTTAGCTGGTCATTGAAAAAGTTATCAGAGTACACCTCATTCTTTGAAAATGACTGTAGCAAATACTTGTGAAGATACCACAATTTGTCAATATAATAAGTATACACAAGCCAATATTTTTATAATTTTAGGTTTCAAAGTTTTAAAATGGTGGCAATTAAACATTTGTACTGCAAAGGTGGACACAACAGACACTTTTAAAGGATTAGTTTGTTTAAAATTGAATAGTTTTCATACCATTTTAGTTGTTTGTTTTTAACAAAGTTTTCTTTCAAGTTAGGTTTTACGCATGCTCAAGTATTGGTAGTTACGCATCTATCAAAACAAATTAAAACTGAAAAAAGCACCAATCCTGTTATTTCTTATGTAATGTGGTGTCCAACAATACTTCCAGAGAAAGGAGGGAATCAAATGATTGCCTTTTCTGGGCATCTCTTTCCAAAGACATCATAAGTCAGATATTTCTGGATAACGTTACTTTTGAGCATATTGGTTTTGAGGTGAAATGTGTACCTGGATAAGTGTTAAAATGACTATGACTTATAATACATAAATATATATATTTTTCTATTTTTGAATAGCTCAATGGTGATTCGAGATTTAACCTTGCGAAGTGCTGCTAGCTTTGGCTCTTTTCATCTGATCCGCTTGCTTTACGATGAATACATGTTTTACTTAGTAGAACATCGTGTTGCTCAGGCAACAGGAGAGACACCTATTGCAGTTATGGGAGAGGTAAGATAATATGTGAGAGACTAGATTGATAGATTTAGTGATTAATTTGGTATGTGTCTTTGCAAATTTTTTAAATGTTTATGTGGAGCTGTAGGAAGTTCTGCAACATAACAGTAGATTGGGTTACAAATACGTACAACAGTTTCAAACTTGTTTCATTCATTGATTGTCAGTACTCAAATCACATTGGATTCTAACAATTATTTCCAAATGAACGTGCTGTTGTACAAATCTGCATACAAATTCATGTGCAAAGTCTGAAAAATGTTCAACATACAGCCTTCTTCTAGTTTTTGAGAACTGAATATTTTATGTGAAAATTTAAAAAAAAAGAGTAATAGTAAAGTGTTGCTTACATGGATCTGTTAACATGTATTTGCACGTTTTGAATTATGGCGCAAATGTTAACACAAGTGAGCTGAGCAGCCCCATTGATTTGAGAAGGAGGGCTTACATGCAAAATTCTGGCTTGTACAGTACTGTTCACACGCATGTAATAAAACCAGCACAGACATACACAGAGGTTTGCAACACAGTTGATTTTCATACATGTGTTTCAAAGATTATTGGTGTAAAAAACTGAACAAGAGTCTTGATTCAAAACCAGTTTTTTATACTCATCTATGGCATCTGCAAGACAAAGATTATCTCTTTCCTCTTGTTCCAGTAGTTCATCTAGCCTTTTATTTTGAGTGAGATGGTGAGGAATGCATGAATTGTCATCAAAGAATTGCACTTCAAAAGTGATGGAAAATGGATGTGTTTGAAAATATGCTAGATAGTTAATGGGACAGGTTTGTTACATTTTTACACTTGGGAGTCACTGTATCATATTCTATGTTACCGAAAAAGTGCAAGTCATCTCGCAAGTTGATTTGGCATCAGGTATTTTTCTTCCCTCAAGATACATTGATAGGCTTATTAAATACTATAAATAGATGCTATAATTTAAAGATAAATTGGAAATGTCTCAGCTTTATGTGTCAAATGATTTTATAACATACAGCATGAGATGTTTCAGAAAAACTAAATAACAATGTTTCTGCTTAGTGACCCACCAATAGTGTATTTGCTTAATCTCTACATTATATTTGCAGTAAGGTACTACTACAAGTATGCAGTTACTACATTCTTGTCTTCTTAATAGACATTGTATACATTAGACATAAATGTAGTGTAGGGTCTTCTAAAAAGGTTATGTAGACTGAAGACAGAAAAAAAAAAAAAAAAAGGAAGACCCAGGAAACTACAGACCAGTCAGTATCAACTCTGTGCCTGGCAAGATCATGGAGCAGACAATCCTGGAGATTCTGCTGGGGCACATGGAAAATAAGGAAGTGATTGGTGACAGCCAGCATGGCTTCATTAAGGGTAAATCATGCCTGAAAATTCAGTGGCCTTCTATGACAGGGCTACAGCGTTGGGCAGAGCAAATGACGTCATCTACCTGGACTTGTGCGAAGCCTTTGACACTGTCCCACATGACATCCTTGCCTCTAAATTGAAGAGACATGGATTTGACAGAAGGACTGCTCGGTGGATAAGTGCTCGGTGGATAAGGAATTGGGTGGATGGTGGCACTCAACGAGTTGTGGCCAATGGCTCAATGTCCAAGTGGAGACCAGTGACAAATGGCATTCCGCAGGGGTCAGTACTGGGACCAGTGTTGTTTAGCATCTTTGTCGGTGACATGGACAGTGGAGTTGAGCGCACCCTCAGCAAGTTTGCTGACAACACCAAGCTGTGTGGGGACGTCAACACACTGGAGGGAAGGGATGCCATCCAGAGGGACCTGGACAGGCTTGAGAGGTGGGCCAATGCAAACCTCATGAAGTTCAAGAATGACAAGTGCAAGGTCCTGCACATGGGTTGGGGCAATCCCAAGCACAAATACAGGCTGGGCAGAAAATGGATTGAGAGCAGCCCCAAGAAGAAGGACTTGGGGATGCTGGTAGATATGAAGCTCAACGTGACCTGACAGTGCACACTTGCAGCCCAGAAAGCCAACCGTATCCTGGGCTGCATCGAAAGAAGCATGAGCAGCAGGCGGACGGAGGTGTTTCCCCCCCTCTGCTCCACTCTTGTGAGACCCCACCTGGAGTACTGCATCCAGCTCTGGGGGGCCCAACATAAGAAAGACATTGACCTGTTGGACTGAGTCCAGAGGAGGGCCATGAAGATAGTCAGAGGGCTGTAGCCATATGAGGACAGGCTGCTCTAGAGAGTTGGGGTTGCTCAGCCTGGAGAAGAGGAGACTCTGGGGAGATCTAATAGCAGCCTTCCGGTACTTCAAGGGGCCTACAGGAGAGATGGGGAGGCACTCTTTATCAGGGAGTGTAGTGATAGGATGAGGGGTAACATGTTTAAGCTGAAAGAGGGAAGATTTAGGTTGGATATTAGGAGGAATTTTTTTACTGTGAGGGTGGTGAGACACTGGAAGAGGTTGCCCAGGGAAGTTGTGGATGCTCCATCCCTGGAGGTGTTCAAGGCCAGGCTGGATGAGGCTTTGAGCAACCTGGTCTAGTGAGAGGTGTCCCTGCCCATGGCAGGTGGGGTGGAACTAGATAATCTTTAAGGTCACTTGCAACCCTAACCATTCTATGATTCTATGATATTATTAGGAAGTAAGTAACCACAAACTTTTGGAGGTGAGAGGGGCAGAACAGAAGCAGTAAATACACATTAGATGCATATCTTTTTATGTTTCTGTGTATTCAATGACTGTGACTGAAAGAAAATGAGAAAGTCTAAGACTATGGTCTGACAAACACCACAAAACAGTATAAACTGGTGTTGCAGCTGAAAAAAACATTCTAATTTTTCTCCCTTCCTCTTCTCCCAGTTTTGGACACAGGTATTGGCAAAACTCTTCTGAAAAAGACTGGTATCATCATTTATGGTTAGAAATTTATTTATCTAAATAACATACTTCTTTTATTTGAGACTCATTGATGCCATTTTGCTCTGCTGATTCTTATTTAAGCAAAACTTAGAGGATTCAGGGCAGGAAAGAGAGGAAGGCTGTACATCTATGTTGTGGGTAACTTTTTTGAAGAAGGTCTTTTTTGATTTAAGTAAATTGGTTAACAGATTGTAAACCCTTTCTCAGCAGTGCCTTACATCTACCTTACATGTAGATTTATAACACTGTGACACACCACCATTTTTTTTCCAGGACAATTAAAGTTGTTTTTGGGAAATTTTGGGAAAGTACCCATTTTAATTTTTGAGGGTTTACTTAGTGATGATTGTCTTAATAAGCACAAGACTAGGATGGAATGGAAAACAAATTGCTGTACTATGGATGTGGCTGCAGTGAAGATGATGCATTTGACTGCTAGCCTGAAACCAGTGGAGCACAGATCTGCTCCAGCACAGATACTCTAAGTATAAAAACCTGTGTCCAGGTTTTTTATTATTTATTTTGCAGTTTGGTGATTTAAATGCTGTGTCCCCTGGAAATATGGATAAAGGTAAGCATTTTAATCTCTCCAGTGTATAGTTCTGTGTGGTGCAAATGTGCCTCTTTGAGCAAAATAAGTCCTTACTTTTGAAAAACACAGTAAACAGAATTTAGAAGTCTATCATGCTTTAAAGTGCATGTATATGTTATACGGATATGTTAATATATTATATTAATATGCAGCATATAATAATATCTAAAATATTGTAGGATTGTTTAAAAAAAAGAATGTATTTTAAGGAAGTTTATTATTGACACAAGAAATATTCCAATTTTTACACAGAATTTAGTTGTATTTGATAGGAGAGAAAGAAGATGGTAACAGCTGTAGGAAGACAGAAGTATGCTTATGTATGTTATCTATAGTAAATATTTTGCTAAGTGAAGAAGGCAAAATTTCATGCAAGTAATTGTCAGATAACTTGTCAATAAAGAGGACAGAAATAAGTTATGTCCTCATAACCTCTTTATGTCATATTTTAACACATATCCGTGTACTGACTAGTTGAGTGATTTGGGGTGACTTGACCCCAGTAGAAGAATGTATGTCAAAATTCAGGGTCAAGTCACCTCAATTCTCTTCACCTCAGTTTCCCTCTCTGTAACTAAGAGTAGCAACCCTTTTGTTCATCATGTCTTAGAGATGAGAGGCATTTTGCAATATGCAATTTTGTTTGTTAGAGATTGTTTTTGAAATTGCAATTGCTTTTTCCATATACTGTCAACAGTGTGTAACTCAAGTGATCAAAGCAGAGAGGCTTAATGTATTTGAGATATTTTTTTTCCACTAAAATTTTCAGTTGGGATTTATCAGATTGCGAGTCTTCCCTGTATTTTTGTATTTCAACTATTATTTGCAAAATAAAGGCCCTTCCCCTTCATGCTAGTTTCATGGTGGTTTGTTTGTGCAGATGAGGGCAGCGAAGTTGAAAGTGAAATAGATGAAGAGCTGGATGAAAATGGAGAGCCACAAGCCAAGAGGGAGAAAACAGAGCTAAACCAAGCATTCCAGGTGGGCTGCATGCAGCCAGTGCTAGAGAGTGGAGTACAGCAGAACCTACTGAACCCAATTCATAATGAGCACATCGTTGCAACTACTCAGACTATCAGACAGTGCAGTGCTACTGGAAATACATATACTGCAGTCTAATATGAAACCTCCCCCCCCCGCCAACACACACCGCATTACAATAGTCCTTTGGGTTTAATATGAAAAAAATAATGAAGAGAATAAGTCTGGAGGTCGACTGTTGTCAAATTTTATCTGTGCTGAACATTATTTTATTGGAGTTGTTAAATGGAATGAGTGTATGTATTTTGACAGATCTGATAAAAAAAAGAGATTTTTGTTGTAAACAGAATCATTTTACATTGGCTGCTCAATATGGGGAGTTTTCTTAGTATGAAATGTAAGGAAGATTTTTGCAAAACTTAATGTTTTTGTCCTCTTATAATAATAATTTGATTTTTTTCATAGTTTTATAAAAATATTTTAATGTTAATTATTAGTTATGATGATGATTTCATATACATAGGTTTGTAATTAGATGCACTTCTGTGAAATATCAAAAGAACTATTTTCTTTGATTTACACTGGAGGCATACTTATTTGACAGCAGATGTATCAAATTTGTTATAAAAGGTGCTTTTCATTGGACATCTAGAAGACACTATTTTGATAAAATTGTGAGCATTAAAGGGGATTTTTTGTAATAATGCTGGAGAGTTGGGAAGATCTCCTTTCTTTCTGTGAAAAAGAAGCAAGTTTAAATGACAGAATTGTAACAGAATGTGATAATGTGTACGTCATAAACGTACCTAGTTATCTGACCATCATGTAAACAATGCAATCAAAAATCAACAGTTCCAGATATTATTTGCATACTAGTTCCTCTGTTTTGAAGACTACTGATTCTGTATGTTGGGCCACTGAACAGGTGCTTTTGGCTGTTGGGTGGTACTGTAGCTGTTAGAAACTGAAGCTAAAAAAGAAGTGACTTGATAATTATTATTATTATTAATTTTAAGTGTACGTGCTACTTTTTCTGAACTGGACATACAGGAAAACATTCCATTGGATGACTTTCTTCTATTCCAGGTCTTTTCCTACTAGTGGTTCAAACTGCTGCTCTTAGACAAGATGATTTATAGAATGCAAGGAATGTAGCAACCTGCATCATTTTGCTTTGAAAAATATTTCCTTGTTGTTAAAGTGGATTTAAATTTTTACAAAAATTAGATAAGGCAGTGTAACTGGCACACCTCACTTGTACTTATTCCCAATTGTGTAGAATTTGAATAGGTGGCTAGATGGACCATTGCCATTTAAGAATGTACATCAGGGATCATTGTACCTCGGCTATTACATGGTGCCTTAAACAGAACTGAAGCTAAGACTTAGTACTTTTTGTTATTCTTAACTCTTAAATTAATTCAACAAGGTGTGCCTGTCATTTTCAAATTCCATAAGAAGTAAGGACAGGTTACATAGCCTTCAAAAGAAAAAAAGGATTTTTTTATTATTAAATGATTTTAATATCCCTCTTAGAATGACAATAAACCTATTTTTTTCTTGTTTTTAGCTGGATTTCACTTTATTACAAATAAAATTTGCTTGGGAATTTGGAAAGCAAAACTAGCTTTAATACCAAGTTCAAATGTCAAAATAGATTGATCGTAGTCCCAAGCATGATTATATATTTTCTAAACCCTTGCCTACTTTTAATTTTAAAAACTAAAAAGAAATAAATGAGCAGGTACATAATGCAGTGCATGTTTTCAAATTCTATATTTTGTGGGGTATCAGCTAGATATTGCATTTTAATGGTTAAATAATGACAGTTTAGAGACCATACTAATTAACATTACACAACTTACATTTTTCTTCTTAAACATTTCATTATGCAGACACATGAATTTGCTACACTAAAATGGTGGAATTAAATAAGCAAAAAAGCCAAAAAGTGAAGGAGAGCACAAAAAGATCAACTTTACAGAAAAGACTGTGTAAGAAAATTAGGGCTTCATTTATTTTGGTTTATCTGGTGTGTCTGAAAATTACTTCAAAGTCATATATACCAAATAGGAGAAGAGCATGTAAAAGGAACAGCGTATTTACAGCAAACAGGTTTGTTGCTATAGTTTACATAGGCTCCAAATACAGCTGCACATCAACTAAAATGTCTTAACACTATTGGTGTACAAAACTGAATTTTAATTCCTTTGCAGAACTGGGAGGTGAACCCATCCTGGTCATTCTATGTAGGCATCATTCCTACTAATGTCAGTAGATGGCTTTTGCCTCAGTAAAAAGTGAAAGTGAGGTTTATAGTCATTATTTCTAAACTCGTTAATGCACTAAATCTCATTACAGATTTTGTTATCACAACATATATCACTCAGTTTGTCCTGATTTTTTCTTTAAAATCAGCACATCTGTACCCTTCACCAAAAATGCTAAAACTAAGCTGTGATATTTACTCCCCTTCAACGTGCATTATAAGATGTTTACAAGTAGAATAAAGTGAAATAATTTTTTTTTTCATTTTCAGCTCTTTTTAGTACTTTAGCACTTGTTTCAATTTTTGTGTTGACTGATCTATAATGTTTTCTTATTATTGTCCTTTCTTGTTTTAATGTTGGATTTCTTGTTGCTGAGAAAAGAGTACGATTGTAATAGGTAAATCTAGATTGCTAAAAGAGGTGGGACCTGAGTATCTTTCATTATTTAGCTCCCCACTCCACTCAGTTGTTCACTGTTCACAAAGTGCAAACCAAAACTGAACAAAAATCTTAATACAAACTTGGAATGTATTTCATAGCTTCTAAAAACAATGAGTTATCAAAACAAATTGGAATTATCCCAGGTTCAGAAAACTGAATGGAGTCTGTATTCCTATGCTTAAACTCTAAAGATTTTACTAGATTTTTTTTATAACTACATTACTTTAAGCTGTGTTGTATACTTACAGGTTTGGAGGTCTTCTGTATTGTTTTTACATTTACTGAAAGTTTAATCAAACACTTAGATAAAACATTTTGCACACTCTTGCTATTTAATAGTTGGGTTTTAGTAATCATCAAACTACAGAAGTACAAATACCTCAGTCCATATTCTGTAATGTGTAGCATGCGGTTGCATTGCCATACCAGCTCTGAAGCCTATTGTTAGTGCTCTGGAGAGGTATAGCATGTATCCACAGGGTAGACATTAGGAGAGTTGATAAGGTTTGTGTGTTTTATCTAATCTTGACATGAAATCCAAAATAATTATTTTAGAGGCATTTCCCCCATTAGCACAAATAGCACAGTGAACGGTGTGGGGGAATGGGTATTGTTGAACTACCTTTTCAAAACACAGGGCCCAATTTCCAAAAGTTTTATATTTATTAAAATTTCTTGGTAGATTTTAATCTTTCTCATGGTAAATCAGTTCCAAAGGGTTTTGGGTGGTGGGTTTGGTTTTTTTTCTGTTTTCAATTATTATTTCTGTGTTTTGCTCTGGTACTGTAGCATGCTTTAAGCACCTTCTTTTAAAAAAGTTCCATAAAAATTTGGAAAATAGATTTTAAATTATTTACCTATAAGATGATGATTTACAGCATTACTCCCATTAGTTCAAAAATAAGAAAATAGATAATGTTCTGTCATTCAGGAATGTATAGGTCTATATGCAAATTTAATTTGAAGCAAGGTATTTTTAAATATCCAAACCACCTGTTTTGTTCACCTTTTTTTCCCTAGGAGGAATGTTTTGATATCTTTGTCATTCTCCCCAATTGACATCTGCATTGTTTAGAAAAAAATTTATATTAGAGATGCTCTGCATTCCAGTTTAATTCAGAAGGTTTTTACAAAATAAAAACAACCAATAATAGCCATAAAAGTGATGATGAGAAATAGATTTATTAATAATATAATTATGTTTTGGTACTTACATACAACAATAATTTCAGAGTTTAAGACATTCATTTGAAAGAGCAGTATGAATTTCTGAAAATTGGGTCCTTGTCTCTCTAACTGGACATCCTCTTTGTGTATGGTCTAAAACAAACCAATAAATGGAATTCTAGTATCTCTGCTAATTTGTTTGGTGATTTAAGACAAACAATAAAAACTGGAATAGAAGCATAAACACACAGTGCTTAGTTCTAGTATTAGAAAATTAATTTTATATAATGCCTTGCATTAACCCTTTGAGCATTGTAAGTAACATGATGGGAACAAAGCTTTTTAGATAATTTAATTAGTCCATTGAGCATATACGTTGAAATAGCTGATAGTGTTGTAGAATTTTTTTTTATTATTTCTAAAGTAAATACTTGCATACTATACAGGAGTGTTTTTGTTATAGGAGGTTCAATAGATGTAGGCAAAATATTCACTGATATTGATGTGTACTGTCTAATAGAAAACAGTACTTCAGCTCTCTTGTTTTCATAACTGCTTAAATATATTAAGAAAATCAACCATGTATTTCTACGGTTATGAAGTGGTCTCCTTTAAGATGCCTTTAGAAGATAAAGGTTTAGGGAATATATTCGGACTATTTTGAAGATAGGTTAGTATTAGAATACTCTTGTACTGTGAAAGAGAATCTTTAGGATTAAAAGAAGGCTTAGTGAAGAAGAAGAAATTTTGAAGAATATTTGGTATGTTTGCATTTAATTTTTGGGACTGTTTTTGATAAACAACAAAAAGTGCACGATTATATTGATATTCCTTTTAAAACTCAGTCACTGCATAATGACTAGCTAAAAGATAAAGGTATTTTATTCATCTTCATCTACAGGGGTACAGTTTTGATGGCCCTCATTGAATGTCAGAATTTTAAAAGCAACCTAGAAATTGCACAAGCCTTTTGCCATTTTAAAAAGCCCCTTTGTTCTTACAAATACTGCTTACAAGAACAAGGGAACAAGTGTAGTAGCAAGTAGAGATTCTTTGAACTTACAGATAGAAACGCCACCTGAATAAGTGAGAGTACAATACATTTTCTGCTGATTTCTTGCAATATCAATCAGTCACCAAACACTAAATACAGCTGTACTTATGGAAGTCTAGCTGAGAGCAAAAAGAAGGTGTCTTATTTTAAGTTATTTAATGGAATTATGTCAGTAGTATAGTGCAAGTAAGTTGTAAACATTTTTAGTCAGTTAATGCAAATTCATGGATAATTAATTAACACAAATGCAATACTCAAAGGGTTTT